ACAAAACCCGCAACGCGCAGATCCTTAAAATTAATTTAAATGTTGAGAAAAGACCCAGGAAACTAGAACAATTATACTTTTACAAAAACACTTGAAAGTTAGGTAAAAAATTCAAGATAAAAGTAACTTCAGAAAGGGTAACAGAGTTCTGGTGTGGTTTCTTTTTATGCAATTTTAATGACAGCTATTAGAGGTTTACAGTTAGCGTCTGAAGAGTCTTTTAAACCGTGGGTGATGTATTTGCACTGAATTCCAAGTAAACCAGGTACTGTGGAAAAGGCAGGAAGAGTGAGGCGTGAGCAAGTGTTAGTTACTACATCGCTTTTTACGCTGGCTTAATTTGTCCTACTATAGTTTGAATATCATTTGTGGTCTAAAAATTATACATTAACTAAAACGCCCACTGCTGTCAGTACTAGTGGCAGTCTAAGACGGGTAAAAAAAAGAAACACTTTCGTTGACTGAACAATATTCTCGATGTAATTGGTATATAGGATGTCATCAATACTCAAGTTTCGGGTTATTTCGTGCTTTTTGCTGCTTAGTCTCGATTTTGCCTAGAATATTCACATGTTCAAGTGAAGTTACAAGGAAGTTGTTGTTATTGTTGTTGTGCATTTCTTACATTAACATTTGTACTTGTAAATATATATTCTGAGGCTAAACCTGGGTGTAAAATCAAGGAGTGGTATTGTGCGAATTCCAAAACGTCACGTGTTTTAATCTGAATGTGGCGTCGCGATTTCTTTTGACGGTCTTTTTGAAAGCCATTCGTCAGCGCGTGCGCCGTCCTAAATCAGTCTTAAAACCTWACCGCACGCCCACGCTCTGCAACGTAAAAAACCCTTCTAATGTACAGCAGTTCATTTGCTTGATTCATTTTACTGTGTACACTCGCGATCCCTAACATATCATAGGAATATTATACAAACTATCCATATAATTATTAAGTTTCAGAACCTATAATTAATCCCTTGAAGATGGACAAGATACTCATGATKATCAGCCTATGCGTTCTCTTTTTGTTCTTCATCTCACGAACCACATCAGACGAATTGCAGTCAGATGCAATTGAAAGAAATGACTTTGAGGCGGAAAAAGAAGCAAAGAGCTCTAGCTGGATCCCAGGCCCTCTTTTCAAGAGAAGACCTGCCGCCGCCTACTCGAGTCGACGGCGGCACGGGCGCTTTGGTCAATTGGGAAAATAATTTTATGTAAAATTATGAATCAGATTAAGATATGAATTCAAACAAATGCAATTAAATGCTTCTTTTTTTGTGCGTACCATATTCTATCCACAGTATAAGCGCAATAAATGTAAAGAGTTACAGAGGCCATTGCTTTTAGACACAATAAAAAMCACAATAATCGAGATGAAGAATATGAACTATCAAGGGTTTATAACAATCTGTTGACCTCACGTTTCGATTTGTCATCTAACGCTTCAGACGAAATA